GGGGGGGCCCCAGCCACAACTCATGCCTCCATCCAAAAAGAGACTTTATCCCAGAAATAGCTCTGAACCTGGGACACACTAGTCCCTCCCACCCCCAAACAATTACCGAATCTAAATGATTCTAAGATTGTGGGCTTTTTGTTTAAAAACTCAGATACCAAGAATAAATGAGTCTGATTTAGAGGTAAAAGAAGGGAAGGAACCCTCTCACAAAGCAGCCCCTGGAGGAAGTGGCGGAGGGCACCTGGCCTACTCCTGTCTGTTACAGCAGGGACAGATCGTTAAGCCCCGTGCAGCACACCACGAGTAGATGAAAATCTGTTTCCCAGTGACTTATGACTAAAGCCTGTCCTACCACGTGTCAGCCTGGCTGCTGTCCCATCCCGCTGACACTGAAGGTGCCTATGGAAGAGATGGCGACAGCATTGTGCTCTAGAGTGAGGAGGCTGTCGGCACACAGCAGAACCACACGGCTTTGTCAGGGACTGAGGTTAACCCTCAGACAGACGGCCTCAGTGTAGTCCATAGGACAACCACACTGCTGGCCCTGCCGGCCCTCTGCGCTTCAGGCTCCTGACCCTCCTCAGGGTCCCTTCTCCTCACACCTCACCAGCTTGTTCTCACCCCTGCAGTGCCAGCACCATCTGTTCACAGGTCTGTCGCCCCCTCTTCCTTTCTCCTTGCACCAGCCCAGGCCCTCCATGTGGACCTGCAGACCCCCTAGGTTCCTGTGGGGGGGCAGAGCCAGCAGAGTCCAGGTGTACCTTTGAAGTCTAACTCATATTTGTGCTTCCCGGCCTCAAACTTCAGGCTGGCTGCTGAGGCGTCAGACCCAGGTATGCACCACACCAGGTAGGCCTTCTCCACATCGCCGCTGCTGATGGTGGTCGTAGGGTGCATTGCATCCTGTGGGAAAGCCAGACATTTCATGAAGGAAGAGCCTTTGGGACGAGGAAAGAGCCCAAGTACCCACACCACATTTCAGACAGGCCCACAGTAGAGTCCTGTCGTACGAGAGGAAGAGCCAGGAAGGGTATAAGAGGCAGGAGAGGGAGACTTCTCTCTCTGCAGAGAGCTGGAGCTGGTCATTAGGCTATTGGGGCAGGACCAGAGGAAGGGAGGGCGTTCGAATGGCTCAGGAGGGAAGGTACAGCCATTTAAAGGACAGAGAGACTGCAGTAGGGGCTCTCAAACACAGCTTGACTGCTCGGCCTGGACAGTGCTGCCTCTGCTCTCACCACGTTTGCCCCACCACCCTCATCGGAGTTCAGTCCTCCTCCTGGTGGTTTTCTTTTTCTGGTCCCTTGGAGAGCCCTTCTATTTTTTTAGTTAGTTACTCACTTCAATCCCTCATCTTCTCTCCAATTCCCTACAGGATACCTAATATTTTGGGTTGAACTGACTGAGTTTGAATTCTGGCTCCCAAGCCTGCTGGCTCTCACTCTTCGGCAAGTGGTTTTAACCTTTCTGGTCTCAGTTATCTCAGGTATACAAAATTAACAGTCGTTAGGCCATTATTTGACAGGACTAACCGCCCTCATGGGCTGGAGAAGTATCTGACACACATTGTGCGGAGCACCTAGCACAGTGCTGGTGCAGCACTCAGTGTTACCTGCCACCGCCATCTTTATTCTTAGACCAGACATTGCACTAGTAACTAAAATTAAATTTACTGCAACTCTCTCCGTCTTTGCAAATTTTCCTACTCTCCCTATTGCTTCTGTCCCAGTCTTCCTAAGTGACAAGTTGTAGGTGTCATGGACAGAACAATAAATGAAACAAGACCCACCCCTGCCTTGCAGCAACTCTGCCCAACAATGAAAGAGGCAGGAAAAATGCAAGTGGACAGTCCAGGTGCTATGTTCCAGGCTCCACACAATCTGCAGGGAACCCTCCAGAAATTGAAGACTTAACCGAGGATGACCAAGATAGGTGGGACCAGCAGTGGTTTCCTGGAGGAAAAAGACACCTGAACCAAGAGCTAAAAAAAGAATGAGAATGCGTTGGGCCCATGAAGGCCATGGGAGAGGGTGTGATGAAGGCCATCAGAGGGTGTGATGAAGGCCATGGGGGAGGGTGTGATGAAGGCCATGGGGGAGGGTGTGATGAAGGCCACAGGGGAGGGTGTGATGAAGGCCAGGGTGTGTGTGTGTGTGTGTGTGTGTGTGATAAAGGCCATGGGGGAGGGTGTGTGATGAAGGCCACGGGGGAGGGTGTGATGAAGGCCACAGGGGAGGGTGTGATGAAGGCCAGGGTGTGTGTGTGTGTGTGTGGGTGTGTG